GGTGGACATAGTAGGTCCCTTAAAGAAGCCTAGCCCCTATGGCAAGCGATTTATCTTGACAATGGTGGACTATGCTACCAGATAACCAGAAGTAGTGGCGCTAACTAATATACATGCTGAAACGGGAGCAGAGGCCCTCATGCGGATTTTCTCCAGGATGGGGTTACCCAAGGAAATAATCTCGGATCAGGGTACTCAGTTCACCGTGGAGGTTACCCAGCACCTCTGGAAGTTCTGTGGCATTAGGTCAATAATTAGTGCCCCCTACCATCCCCAGACCAATGGGCTCTGCAAACCTTCGCTGAGACTCACCAGGACTGGGAGCGATTCCTGCCCCACCTCCTGCATACCGAGAGGTGCCACAGGAATCCACAGGGTTCTCCTCGTTTGAGTTATTATTTGGGAGATGGGTACGAGGTCCCCTAGATCTTATCAAAGAACACTGGGAGGGAGACCGTAGCACTGACGGTACCCCCATCATACCATATGTGCTGGAGTTCCGAGACCAACTGAAGGAATTAACCAGGTCAGTACGGGAAAACCTTCAGGTGGCTCAGACGTGTCAGCGCACATGGTATGATCGGGGCGCCAGGGACCGTAGGTTTCAGGTCAGGCAGAAAGTTTTAGTTTTAAAACATGTCCGACATAATAAGTTACAGGCTGCCTGGCAAGGCCCTTATAAAGTGTTGGAACAGAGATGTGATACCACATATATAATCGGTCCATGTACAGGGTCAGTGGGGCGACGCATGCTCCATGTGAACATGATAAAGCCCTACCAGGAGCGCTCCAAGGAGGTGACTGCTATATGCGCACCCGCCTCTGAGGAGTTTGACAATCTTCCCCTTCCAGACCTCCTGGGGGACGGAAAGTTGTCAAGTGACATAGAGGAGGTCAAGTTGGGAGATCGGTTGAGCCCACAGGAGCGTACCGAGGTACAACAACTGTTAAGAGAGAAGCACCTTCTCTAATGTACCTGGTTACACTCCTCTGGCCACTCACCGAGTAGAGACACCAGGTCAACTCCCACTGCGCCAGACCCCATATGGCATCCCTGAGGCGGTACAGGAGAATATGCGCAAGGAGATCAACGAGATGCTCCAACTGGGGGTTATTGAGCCATGGGCCTCCCCAGTAGTCCTTGTACCCAAGTGGGACGGTACGACCCGCTTCTGCGTGGACTACAGGAGGTTAAATGAAAAGACAGTGTCCGACGCCTATCCTATACCGAGGATAGACGAACTGCTAGACCGGATGGCCAGGGGCCAATACCTCACTACCATTGATCTCTGTATAGGGTATTGGCAGATCCCCCTGGCCCCGGACACCATCCCTAAGTCAGCCTTTGTCACCCCATTTAAGGTAATGCCATTTGGGATGAAAAACACTCCGGCTACCTTCCAAAGGATGGTGGACCGACTCCTAGATGAGTTTCAGGACTATACCTGCGCATACCTAGATGATATTGCCATCTTTAGCGATACCTGGCAGGAGCACCTGGCCCATATAGGAGCGGTTCTAGACAGGATTAGGGAAGTGGGCTTAACGCTAAAGCCTGCCAAATGCAATATAGGGATGGTCCAATACCTCGGGAAGCGATGGGGCTGTGGGAAGCAGAAACCTGAGCCAGCTAAAGTTGAGGCCGTAGCCCAGTGGCCAACCCCCAGAACCAAGACTCAGGTGCTAGCTTTGTAGGGACGGCAGGGTACTACAGGAAGTTTGTAACCAACTATAGCGCCCTGGCCAAACCCCTTACTAATCTGACACGGAAAAACCTTCTGGAAAAACCTTCCCCACCAAGTAACCAGGACCCCGGAGTGTGAGCAGGCATACCAACAGTTGAAAAATCACTTATAAATGCCCCTGTCTTGGCAGCTCCCAATCCAACTAAACGTTTTCTTGTTCACACAGATGCTTCTATGTTTGGATTGGGGGCAGTACTGAGCCAAATCGGGGCCGATGGCGGAGAACATCCCGTGGCTTACATCAGTCGGAAGCTGTTACCCCAAGAGGTAAGCTACGCCGCCATCGAGAAGGAATGCCTGGCTGTGGTGTGGGCCCTGAAAAAATTACAACCCTACTGGTATGGACAGCCCTTTTCTTTGCTCACGGATCACAACCCGTTGGTCTGGCTAAACCGGGTGGCTGGGGACAATGCCCGGCTGCTGCGCTGGAGTTTGATTCAATGCTTTCCTGTGGGGTTTGCAAGATGCTGGGTGGATGCAAATTGTGAGGATGTCCAGCATCGTTTCATGAAGTTAAACTCTTTGAAACAGCAGGAAGTACATTAGTGGCTGGTTGACACCCACTAGAGACAGCATTAACCCTGCAAAGAACATATTGCAGTTTCTTTAACCCCTTAGTGACCAGACCGTTTTAAAATTTTCTTACCGTTAAGGACCAGGGCTGTTTTTACATTTCTGCGGTGTTTGTGTTTAGCTGTAATGTTCCTCTTACTCATTTACTGTACACATATTATATACCGTTTCCCTCGCCATCGAATGCTCTTTCTAAAGATATCATTATTTTCATCATATCATATAATTTACTATAAAAAAGTATAAAATATGATGAAAAAATGTAAAAAACCACACTTCTAACTTTGAACATCAAAATCTGTTACGCATCTGGAACCGCCCAAAAACACCCATGCTAAATAGTTTCTAAATTTTGTCCTGAGTTTATAAATACCCAATGTTAACATGTTCTTAGCTTTTTTTTTGTGCAAGTTATAGGGCTATAAGTACAAGTAGGACATTGTAACACTGTTATCTATAAATCTCTGAATCACACCTCACATGTACATATTTTTTTAAAACAGACAACCCAGGGTATTTAATATGGGTTATGTCCAGTCTTTTTTAGTAGCCACTTAGTCACAAACTGGCCAAAGTGAGCATTTATATTTGTTTGTGTGTTAAAAATGCAAAAAACTATTATGAACACTAACTTTGGCCAGTGTTTGTGACTAAGTGGCTACTAAAAAATACTGAACATACCCCATTTGCAATACCTTGGGTTGTCTTCTTTTGCAAATGGTATGCCATCATGGGGGTAATTTTCATTCCTGGGCTACCATACACTCTCAAAGACAACATAAACAATCTGGCAAATTTCAATGTGAAAAAATTTAAAATCAAGCCTTATATTTGACCCTGTAACTTTCAAAAACATTTTAAAACCTGTACATAGGGAGGTATTGTTATACTCGGGAGACTTTGCTGAACACAAATATTAGTGTTTTAAAACAGTAAAACTTATCATAACAATGATATCATCAGTGAAAGTGCAGTTTGTGTGTGAAAAATGCAAAAAAAATTCACTTTCACTAACAATATCATTGATGTGATATGTTTTACTGTTTTGAAACACTAATATTTGTATTCAGCTAAGTCTCCTGAGTAAAACAGTACCTCGCATGTATAGGCTTTATGGGTTTTTGCAAACTTACAGGGATCAAATCTAGGGCTTTCCCCTTTTCCATGTTTGCACATTGAAATTTGCCAAATTGGTTTGCTGGGCCTATATTGCCTTTGAGACCATATGGCAGCCCAGAAAAGAAAGTTAACCCCACCATGACATGCCATTTGAAAAGGTAGACAACCCAGGGTATTAAAAATGGGGTATGTCCAGTCTTTATAATAGCCACTCAGCCACAAATGCTTGCCAAAGTTAGCGTTTATATTTGTTGTTTGCCTTTTTTTACACAAAAAACTGCACTTTTACTGGTCATTTCATTGTCTTGATGTGTTTTACTGTTTTAAACACTCATATTTGTGTTCAGCAAAGTCTTCCGAGTATAACAGTACCCCCTATGTAAAGGTTTTATGATGTTTTGGAAAGTTACGGGGTTAAATATAGGGCTTGCCAATTAAATTCTCTAGACTGTCTGTCTGGGTTGTCAGGCAGGTATATATATATATATATATATATATATATATATATATAATGTCATTTTAAATTTATTTTCTATTATATATATATATATATATATATATATATACACACACACACACACACATATAATACGTGTGTATGTATGTGTGTGTGTATATATATATATATATATATAATTAATTTCTATTTATTTATTTTTTACAACATTTTAGCTGTCTGGGGGACTGTGTGACAGCTCAGGCAGTCCCCCTGCTGGCAGCTCCATAGACTCCTACTGTGGCCATGTGATCACATGGCCCTGGAAGTCCGGAGCAGCTGCATGGGGGTCTGCTGGGCTCTCTGGCAGTCCCCCCTGACCGGGATCGCCGCGGATCGCTGGTCCAGCTAAGTAAATCGGTCCAATTTTCCACAGACGTACCAGATACGTCTGAGGTCATTAACAACTGCTTTTTGTTGGATGTACCTGGTACGTCCAAGATCGGGAAAGGGGTTAAACCTGCAATGTTTTAAACTGCAGGGTTAAGGAGACAAGGACTCTGCAGCCAGACCACTTCAATGAGAGCAGGGTAGGAGATCCCTAAAGTTTATACCTATGTCACTAGGATGCCAGGCTCTTCTGAAACAATATGATAATCTTTTTTCAATGTGCAGTACTAATACAGTCCCACCCCCTGGTCCTGTTAGTACCCAACTTCTCATATTCCCGCTTAAGAGTGCCTAATAATTGTCTTCAGGCTTGTATGAAATTTTTATTTTCAGCAATATTCCCTCTTGACATCACTAGACTGCAGGTTACCTGTATTTTGATAATCAGATATTATACATTTCTTGTTTTGGATAAATACATTTTAATTTAATAATCTGGCTATATGTTCTACTGTTTCAGACAGCTTATAACAAAAAAAAGTTTGTTTTAAATAAGTACAAAATTAGCATATCATTCCCAATTATCTTTGGCATCTCTCACAATTTCAAATTAATAACTAAATAACACCATTGTTGCTCCCTTTATTGACAGAGGCTTTCAGTATCCGAAGAACCGGCTTAGAATAAAAGAAAGTGACATCACCTATAATGTGTTCTTGTAGGCTTGATCCATCTTACCTGTGTCGGACACAGATGGGTCTTTTCTCTAGTGGGGATGGCAAAATGCTTCTCATTAATCATAGCTTAAGTCCCTCTCAATGGGAAGACCAGAGGTTAGCCATCATTTCAAAGTAAATTGGGTGAAAAATTGTTCTGGCAATAAGGAGCCTTCATGTAATTCCCCTGCGCAGTCTTGAGCAGTGTAAAACAGATCCTTCCAAGACGTTAAATGATCTGTCAATGAGAGAATGACATTCTAATTCAGTTTCACGTCCATTGCATTTATTGGCCAATGTTAAAATAAGATAATTTTTATTTCTGCTAAGTGAAACTTAAACAGTGTCACATTTATATTTCGTTTTATAATGCAGATCTTACATATTTATGATTCATTCATTTAGAATTCATAATTATACACTGGGTTTCGGAGCGATGGGAGCGTAAGAATGGCCTGATGTTAATTCCAATCCAGGAATACCAATTCAGATTTACACTCCCCTTAATTGCGATGTTCTCAAGTGGGAACAGTCTGATATTGGATGCTTACGTTTATTCTGTGTGAATGTTTAATTTGTATTTTGGACTTAATCCTAGTTCATACATACATTTTAATATTATAAGTAGCCACAAAAACTAAAGTTTAAGGGACTTCTGCGTGTACCTTACAAATAATTTAAGGCATATTATGAGTCATTTATATAAGTGGAAAAGGTATTTAAAACAAGTCAAAAAGATTATTTTATAGCCCTTGGAAATTATGCAAAGGACCTGTTTGGTAAGCACTGGAGCAGCTCTGAAGACAGTGGGTATGCACTTTCATTAACACTTTCATTGAATATGCATCTAAGACCTAGCAAGGTTTGTATATTTAGAAATGCATGGACTTACAAGAGGTCATCTAAACATACTTCTGCAAGAATTATTGATATCCTTACAGCGAAGCACATTGGCAGCCTTTCTTTAACAATAATAAACAAAAGCCTTTACATTGTACTTGTGCATTAATATGATTTACAATAACTGAATATGTGTTTTTATTTTCTTGTATAAAAAAATATAATAGCATGTTCTATAAACTATTTTTTAATATAATAATCCTTTCATCAAGTATTGAAAGGTAAGAGATTTTTTTAATTAAGTATATGCAAAAAGGGAAAAACAAACCCCTATGTATGACATTTAACAGATGATTCATCCAAATGCATAAACCTGGGTCAGACACTGTTTGAAACAGACATTTAGTGGGTCTGACGATATCACTGCACTGGGCAGGAAATAAAGCAGGGAAAACTAGAGGGACTAACTGCATGTAGAGGTGTATGTATATGGCTGAAGGATTCTGTCATATACTAAAGGTAGGGATGAGGTTTTTTCAAATATTTCATTTAACAAAAAAACTATTTCCTTTCAAAACTTGATGAAAGCTATATTATTATAATAAAAAAATAGAATTAAGGTGACAGTTGTCCTTTGACATAGATTGCATGGTTATTTGTGTACAGAACCAAAATCAGCTTTTAATGTTTTAGGTAATAAAAAATAAACAACATTTTAATAACTTACACTCACATCTGGAAAAATAAATAGCGTTTTTGTATGTAATGTGGCTGCCAAATGTCATAAGACAAGAGTGCCATGATACACCGGGCACTGATCCAGGATCACAGTACTTTCAGCAACCCCCTGCTGCCTTCCAGAATTTAGGACGTTGTAGTCGAATCCACTCATCATGCTGAATTATCGCGTGTGTCTGCTTTAGCATCACAGCTCTGCACAGCAGTTAATGGCAAGAAGATTTATAGCTTTCTTTTTTTTTTTCTCTATGCCAATCTGTTATCCGCTAACTGAGCATGACACGTTTGGGATAATATGAGTCCAGAAATTGACATCAAACAGCAGAACCAAACCGTATCCGAAAGAACAAGTTTGATTGTTTTATACCACGCAGACACACCTTTGAACTTAATATCCATGTTAGCAATGCGTAGATCTCAGTAAAACAAGTTTAAAATATGTCTTCAGCTCTGCAATAAAAGTGGTTATTTTTTGGTATTTGAATCAATATTATGTTAATTAGCAGGCTTCGGTAAGGTGTGTCTACAACTGTGCAATCTTTCTATTCATCTGGCATCATAATTCGGGAGGAGAATGGTTTATTCTGTCCTTATTGACCTGTTGGGAGTAACTGATCAAAATCAAACAAACATGAATTGCTAGTGTGTTTGGAGTATTGCACGCAGTTAAAATAAACTACAATTTTAGCACACTGTTGAGAATATTCCAAACAGATATTTATTTTAACCAGGTTCATTCATCTTCATTTGACGATAATAATTTACTTCAAGCAGTTAGCCGCTATCTGTTCTAAGACAATGAGGAAAGGATGTTCACATGTCAATTCAGATTGCCTCTGGCATATGAATGATAAACGGCAATAAAAATTTGTTTTTTTTCTGAAAAGCCAGAAGTGCTATTCAGTCCAGTGTGTATACAAAAGTCTGAAACAGAAAATAATTAAAAGAATAGAAAATATTAAATAAATGTATAAATAATAAGATTGAATAAATTAATTAGAAAAGTCTATTATAATTTTAGGATTAGATCCAGTAAACACATAGGCAATGGATTAAGTAGAGGTGTGATAATTGTTTGGGTACTTGATATTTGGGAAAATATGAATGCAGTATTTAGTTGGTCTAACATATTGGGGTATTTTCAGAGGGGCACCAGATATTTTGGTTTATTATCTTTTATATATAATATATTTGTCTTGGCTGGGCTCCACAGAAACACGTTTCTCATCTGAGGTCACGCTATAAGTATTGTGTACATCCAAATATTTGGGGACCTGGTTTGCCACAGAACTTCACCGTTTGTCTGAAGTTACTTTTAATATAGTGTTTCAGATTCTCACTTGTGACTTGGAAAATAGAATAATGCTAATTTTAAATTCACATAGACCACTTTAAATTTTACCCGCTGAAAATAGTGTATTTTTTTCCTGCTTCAAATAGGTTTTCTCAGAGTCTTTTGTCCTGAGATCATAAGGTTTGTCTGGAGATGAAAAACAGCACAGTTTACGCATAATGTATTAAAACCACACCGCCCTTGTTTTTCAGTAATCTACCTTTATCGCATACCTTTTACAACACTTGCAAAAAAAGGGCCTAGGGCAGCACAAAACCAGGATACACCACTGACTCTGAGTAATGGGAAGTTTGGCTTTGAATATCATCAGTCTGACTGGTCTACAGAAGTAAATAAAGAAGAAGAAGCAAATAGCCCTTCAAACTCCAGCACTCAAAGCCTAAACCTGAAAATAAACCCTTTACCTTCATCAAATGTTTAACTCCTTTTAAAGCGGCACTGTCACTCCCAGAAAAAATAGTATTTCATATAGATGGAATATTTACAAAATACTCATATTGACTGTGTTATAATGTCACTGAAATCAGGAGATATACTGAGACAAAGTCTTTGTCTCATCATTTCTCCTATGCCTGACACTTCTAGACACTGGGCAGACCTACCACCGTCTAGAGGTGTCAATATTCTAGCCATCACCAGTGATGCAAGGAATTCTCACGGGATCCTCCATAGACCTTGCAGGATCCTCTATAGATCTCAATGTTGTACTAAAGCACCAGGAACTGAAGAGGACCCACAGGAAGAAGATGGAGGCGCCTGCGAGGGACAGCTTCAGGTAAGTAGAAGCCCCCTCCGGTTACCAAACCCATCGGTGATGTCACTGTCGGTGTTCTTTGAAAATACTGCAAACTTCCCAGACGTTGAAGGTACAGCTTTAAAAACTAAACAGCTAATGTACCCCTATCCTATATATATAATCCAACTCTAACCCTAAACTCAGCAATCCTGAACACTCATTATACTACAACTTTAACATCTCTCAAGCTGTTAAAGGGTTACTATCATCTTTTTGAGGTGGGACCTATCTGATGTAATATGTCCTATTGTGCAATTTAGAGAAGGTCCCCACTCTCAATGCGCTGTAAATGCTAAAAAACAACAACATTTTATTCAGAACCTCCTTGCTCATAGAGAAGCCTTTGATTGGACTAATTTGTTGTCTCAGAGAGACAGAAGGCCTGTGAGGGGAAAGTGGGCGGCTGAGGGAGGGAGTGTGGATGTGGGATGGAGAGTTTATTTAAAAAAAATAAATGAATAAGCAACAGAGTGAAGCAGGAGAGAGTTCCCAAAGGGAGGGAGAGAGGCAGGGGGAAGACAAGGGTAAGACTTTTACGGCTGTTCAACAGACGTCATTTATGCACAGAATTGACATTAGGAACAGAGTTCTGGGCTGCCTAACTCGTGTGCTGGGGGTTCAACTAGCCCCCAGCACACAATTAAGAATATCTCAGTATGTGCAGTGTTTCAAGCATATACTTTACTTCTATTACCATGACAACTTCAAATCACTGAAGTGGCCATGGTGGTTGGAGTAACCATTTAATCTTAACTTTTAACACCCCATGTAATCTAAGTCTGACATTAACCCCTCTCTAACCCTAAACCCCCCTTTACCTTAACCACTTCTTACATTATCTGTAACCTTGCATGCATTTACACAGCTGCATACAGCAATCATATTAGTAGTGGTTACAATGGTGATAGGGGAAGGATAGGGTTGTAATTGGTTCAGGGGATATTAGGGACTATAATGGGTGCACAGAGCATGTAGTGGGTGCATGGATTAATAGAGGCTGTAGTGGGTGCAGGGGGTTATAGATGCTATTATGGGTGAAGGGGATAACAGGGGTTGTAGTTTGGTATACGGGGTAACTGAGACTCTAGAGGGTGCATGGGGAGAGATAGAGGCTGTAGTATGTCAGGGGGCATTGAGGATGAAGAAGGTGCAGGGGGTAATAGGGAATGTAGTGGGTGCAAGGAGAAAACTGGCGGTTATTAGTGCAACTGGTAATCGGGGCTGTAGTGAGTGCAGGGGATAATAGGACCTTTAGTAGGTGCAGGGGGACATGGTCTGTAGTGGGTGCAGAAGAGATAGAGGCTATAGGGAGTTATAAGGGTTTTAGTGAGTGTATGGGGTAATAGATTCTGTAGTGGTGGCAAGGGGATATAGGCTGTAGTGTGTTCAGGAGATAGGGACTGTAGTGTGTGCAGAGGAGAGTTAGAGATTGTAGTGGGTGAAGGGGGTAATAGAGGCTGTAGTGGGGGCAGGGGAGGAATAGTGGCTATAGTGGGTGCAGTGGGCATAGGGACTGTATTAGGTGCAGTGGGTAACAGGGTCATTAGTGGGTTCAAGGGCGATAGGATTTTTTGTCGGAGCTGGGGGTTAGTGGGTATAGTGGGTGCAGAATGGATAGTGGTTAATATTACTGTAGTGGGTGCAGGGAAGTCTGGCTGTAGCGGGTAAAGGTGGTTTGAAGGCTGTAGGGAGTGCAGGGAGTAATAGGGGCTGTAATGGGTACGTGGGGGATAGAGGCTGCAGTGGGTGCAGGGGGGTTAGGAGCTGTAGTGGGTGCAGGGAGTAGCAAGGGATCTAGTGGATGTAGAGGGGATAGGGACAAGCTGTAGTGAGTGCAGTAGGTTCTAGTGGCTGTAGTAGGTGAAGGAAAAAAGGGCCATAGTAGGTGCAGAGGGATAGAGGTGGTAGTGGGTGCAGGGGGCTCTAGTAGCTGCAGATGTATAGGGGCTGCAGTGGGTGCAGAGGAGGGTATGAAGCTGTAGTGGCTGCAAGGGGTAATAGAGGCTGTAGTGGGTGCAGGGGAAAGGTCCGTTATGGGTTAATATGGGCTGTAGTGAGTGCAGGGTGTAATAGGGGTTGTAGTGGGTGCATGGGGTTCTAAGGGCTGTAGTGGGTTCAGGTGGCATAGGGGCTTTAGTGGGTGCAGGGGGAAAGAGGCTGTTGTGAGTGGAAGGTGCTAGAAGTGGTTATAAGAGCAGTAGTAGGTGCAAGGGGGAAAGCAGGTGTAATGGGTGCAGGGGGTAATATGGGCTATAGTGTGTGCAGGGAAAAGTAAGGTGACATCAGTCTCTGAGAGTTTAAGAACATGGCAACAGTAGTGCTCAAGTAGGACTTGTGGCTCCTCAAGAGCACATACGTTTTACTAGACATTGAAAAATCCACACATGCAGCCTGAGCACTTTTTAGGCAGTGAAAGAGAGGTTTACAATAATCTGGAATAATATTAATAAAGCAACAAGAGCACGGATAAGCTCTAAATTGTGTCCAGACTGAGAAAGGGGAAAATAATTTTTAAGGAATACCACCAGAATGTAAGGTTTAGCACGTGAAAGGTTCTGGTAAGTCTACAAGACAGCGCAATCAACCCAAGCCGGATTCTCTCTTATCTGGAACGAGAACAAGGTAGTGAAAGGAAGGAATTGGAAGTAGCGCCTTAGTAAATCAGTAGATGGAGCTAAAGAGCTCCTCTGGATAGCGCTTGGGCGGTGTGATCCCTAACAATATTCTGGTGCTTCGCTTCATCTCAGGATATGGTCCAGGAATATAGAAGGGAACACAGAGATGGACACTATATAGTGTAGTAATTTAGTGCTGTTGATATTAGAAAACTGAATCAAATTAGAAATACACTCACATTTATATAAGCCTAGTAGGTGGCTCCTTAAAACAGAGTGGAGTGGTATAATCCCCACTCTAAGGATATGTAGATGATGTGGTGTCTATTTTAGGAGCAAAGTAAAGTTTTGCTCATTCCATAAGGCTTTGGTGGTACGCTTCCCACCAGGGAGAACAAAGTTGAAAAGCCTTGTCCTGTGGCAAAACGTATCGTGTTACTTTTAACTTTTTATTTTTTACTGTTTTATTGTACTTTAATGTTTTTACCATCCTGGACCATCTTGTTTAATTTCTCCCGGATTTTGTTCTCCCAGGTGGGGAGCCTTATGGAATTAGCAAATGTTACTTTGCTTCTAAAATACACACCACAACAAATTATTTATTTATTTATTTTTAATTCTTTATTTTTCGTGCTTGGTAGCGACAATTTTAAAGCAAACATGGGAAAATCCAGGTAGAAACATATGTTTGAGTTATAAAAAGCAAAACTTACATTTGTCAGACATATTAATAATTTCAGGTGAGTCATAGCACTTTTCAACGTTACAGACCCGGGAACAAGTTATTTTTAGTTGTTACAGAAAAGAAAAGCAGTTGCACATAATATACACATTACTGGGAAAACATAGCATTGTCTTATAAGTGCCATCACATTAAACACATCATTGAAACTGCACATTTTAAGGGAAGAATAGTACATGCAAAACAGTGTGGCATGGTAAAAAAATCAACATTTAAAAATAAAAAAATAGAGCATGCAACATCGTATAAAGACCCCTGGGCCCACAGAAACACAAAAACTGTTAGAGGAATAAGATAGACCTCTGTAGTAGCGGCATATATGCTAAAGAGGCTCTCCCAGAACCAGGACAGAGATCAGCCAACCCCCACTAAGGGCAGGACACAGTGCCAAAGTTCAGAGGTAAGCCTTCAACCGATAACCAATACAGGAATTAGGCAGCCAGTCCGCCACTAAAGCCATTCCAGCCAGCCAAAGTTAAGAATGATGTTCGAGGACTCAGTAAGCATTTTCCATTACTTGTATGTCAATCAATGCCATTGAATGGGTTGTCGAGGGTCGTTTTGGAACAGCCATAGATTATATGTAGGGAAGGACTGGCAGATGCTCAAAGCAGTCCACCATAAACGGAGATGTGGCTCAGTCTTGCGGGTCGCATCAGTCAGTGGCCTAGTTGAGTTGGAAGTAGCACTGTTAAAGGTGCCCTGTTCCAGGCCTCAGGAGTCTTGTGCGTCCTGGGTGGCTGTAAACGCACCTCCATCATGATCGCTTTAGCCCAACATTTCTCATATATAGCGTCAAAGACACTGAGAGAGCTACCATCTGAAAGTAGCATTGTTAAAGGCGCCCTGTTCCAGGCCTCAGGAGTCTTGTGTGCCCGGGTGGCTGTAAATGCACCTCCATCACGGATCGCTGTAGCCCAACATTTCTCACATATGGCGTCAAAGACACTGAGGGAGCTACCATCTACAATGATTACCTGTAAGATATGACAGACTCAACAGCTATTTTAAAGGTATGTGGGTCTCCGCCAATAGTAAAGCTCCAGGTTGCATCAGGCTGACCCCACCAGGCCAAAGAGGGGGGAACAGCACCACATCGTGCCAAGGAACCAGTTTATTCGAGTTGGACAGGATAGCAGGGTGCTGCTGTCCATCCCACTCACTGCCTGAGAAGGCCTCATCCACAGAGACTTTAGATCTCCCTCCAAGGGACCAAAATACAAGTTTCAAGCTCAGCCTCTGGACCAGAACCTCTTGCATGATTGATTGTAGCTTCTCGGGGTAGGGTGAGTATATTATCTGCTTTTGTGAGCCTAAAAGTCAGAAAACTGTAGAAACTGTTCTTTCATGTGACCAGTCAGGCCCCACCAGTATCTGTCATCTTTTTTTACATTAAACAAAGTAAGAAATTTAAAGTCTATGGAGTTCCATGCTTCTCCATGTCACAGGAGAAATATTGTTTTATTTATTAACAGTTACTTATGTAATTATGTGATTTCTTCCCTTTTAGATTTCGTGGGATATGTACTTTATTTCAAAATGATCAATTTAATTGCAATACATATTTAGTCATATAATTGGAAATAAATATGGTTTAGCACAAAACATGTTGTCAATTGCTTAATTTACCCACATTTATAGAAGTCTGCACTTTAATAACTCATCTTTTAAATGTTATTTTCTTTGTAGGCATCATTTCCTTCTACAGCTGTCATGCCCTGCCACTCACCTACGTTTCCCCTATTCTGGCTGTCCCAGTGAGTGAAACTTAAAAATACAAAAAATCTGAACATGTTATACTCTCCTCTATCTTCAAGTGTTGCTGAAAATCAGAGGAACACATAAATACTCCAAAAAACTAAAAATATATATTTGTATTAATTATCCAAATCTGCTTAAACTATTATCCAGTAAATATTATACAGACTAGTATATACATATTTTATATACAACTGTGTAATCACTACACAAAACATAAGTGAGGCATATCTATGTTTATCACCAAATGAATAAACTATAACAAAACAAACATTAAAAAAAAATCAATACCTTGTACCTTGTAACAGGAGAACTGCCAAAGTACTGTCACTGCACATAATTGGAAAATCAGAAATGCTTGGAGGGGGAGGCAGCTGTCAGGATGAAGTTGCATCAGCCATAAGTGTGAATGGTCCTGACAAGTTCCATGTTCCATAAACACGTCATCCACATTCAAGTTATAGTCAGCACCCACGTGGAAAATAGATGAAAGTAATACAAGGGTGAATGGACTCCGCATCCCATTCAAACTGGCTAAAAATCTAGTATAGGAAATAAAAAAATAATTTAGCACTATTTAGGAGTTTTAGAAAATCTAATTTATTGTAACATCACACCATCAATGATTCAACTGTGTTGCAGCTTTGATCAAGTCTTCAAGACAGACACTTTACTTTTAAGGGTGTGAATGGGGGTGTGACATGAGAAATTTAGACATTTGTTACAATTAATTTGTGCAACTAAAATGTATTTTCAAACAAGAACAATTAATCTCATTTACTCATGCTGCTTGCTAAACAAATGTATTTGTTTAAAGACACATTGCTATGAGTATTATTGCTGTGAAGCTCTGTTATACACTAAGACAGACCAACACTATGGAGCTCCTAAAAAATGGAAATTGGAAAAAATAGAGGCACAGAATGTTTCCTCACCATTGTCAGCTTCTTCAATCCTTCCATGTTACTGTTAAAGAAAATATTAACTGACCATATCTTGCCCTGTGCTTAATATTAAATTGATGCTTAAAAACCACATCAAACAAAAAAAAGTATTTCTGCTTTGTTTATCTATTCTGTTTGCGTGCACAAATTTACCCTCAAGTGCTAATTCCGCCAACCAAGACCTGCGAGGTGGAGATAAAGAAACACAGAGTTGGAGAATGTGCAGAGGCTTGGATTGGTCAAACCACATCACTGGGACATCTGCAAAAAGTATAAAAACACGGTTTTATCTGATTGTAGTGCGCACCAGCTGAATTACTTGAAAGTGCTAAAACTGTCTCTTTGTTTTGTAATCCTGCTTCATTGTTCAATAATAATATTTTAATTTGGACCAGTTGTTTCACGTGCCTTATTTTCTTCAACACTACTATTAGTTTGTGCTTCTTTCCTGGTAAATAATTCAACTGTGCCTCTATTAAATATGTTGGCAGGTACACGTTTTGATTCGTACATGATGTTGACCAGAATACCATATATATGCAACACATATTTAACCCCTTAAGACTGCAGGGCGTTCTATGCCGTCCTTATTTAGATGGCTCTAAAAGCCGCAGGACAGCATAGAACGCCCTGCGATCTTTTGTACTTACCCGGTCGTCGGCGATCCCACGCCGGTGATCGCGGTATGGTGACTCACCTGGGAGCCCAGGGAGTCCCCCTCCGTCCTCTTTGGCCCCCCTGGGCCATGTGCATAGGAGTCCAAGGCATTGCCAGCAGGGGGAGTGCCTGTAATGACAGGTACTCCCTCTGCCATCTGAAAATAAAATAAAACAGTTTAAAACAGTTGAAAATTAAATAATATATACTTAGAACATATATATATATATGTCTAAGTGTATTTTAATATTAATATATATATAATCATATATATATATATATATATATATATATTAATATCAAAGTACACGTACAATGATATTGATTAAATTTATATATAATTTTCATTATATATATTTATATATAATAAAAATTAAATAAATATGTAAATACGTTAAAAAAATAAATAAAAATAAAAATAAATAAATAAAAAATATATATGCATGTGTAATTTCGTTCTAACTGTATTTTAAAATTAATATATATATATATTGATATCAAAAAACATGTAGAGCGAGATAATATATATATCTATATACATAAGTATATACGTATATATCACTATATATATACCTATACATAAATAAAAATAATTTAAAAAAATTATATACATATATATATATATAGACATATATATATATATATATACACACACACGTATATATATAATCATTCTACGTATATATTTATGTAATAATTTTACATGATTAGGCAGGGGAGGGCTGGCAGCCTTAGGCCTGGGGGGCAAAACCAGTCAAGTGGCCCATTGCACCACCAAATCAGTTCACCATCCATGCCCACCTTTCCCTGGTTTTATAACGGATATTGATGTTATGCTAATCAGTAGCTCTTTGCCATACCCGCTCCTTCACGGCTCCAGGCACTGCTTGTTGTGAGTGTGAGCCACTGTAAATTAGGGGCAGAGGGCACTTGCACTGCGGTAAAGATGGGGCTGGACAGGAGGAGAGTGCAGTGCAATCAGTGCACTCCCCTCCTGTGGGTCACCAGTAGACTGGTGCACCTGCCCAGGATCAGTGCCGGTGCAAGGATTTTTGCCGCCCTAGACAAAATAAAAATTTGCTGCCCCCCCATGTGACATCACAATGCCCCACCCATATGAACTAACGCCAGTGCTGCACACAGTGTGTGTTTACATTAAAAAGCCTGCAGGGACCAGCTATAGACACCAGAACCACTTCATTAAGCTATAGTGTCCCTTTAATGTGAGGTACATTATAGATTAGTGTCACTAATAATATACTAGATTGCCTACTTACAAGCAGATGAGGATGATGATGGGCTGCAGTTTGGCTCCACTGGTCTGGTGTAGAACAGGATCTCTGGAGGCTGTTTGCAGCTGTGGTCACAAAATTCAATGTTCTGGGAGAATTGGAAGCAGCTCCATTTTTTGGGGCCCCTTACACAGCTCAAGGTCTGGGCCCCAGGGCCTGACGGTGAGTATGCCCATAAGGCCCACTCATAAGTTCCACCCACCCATGAGTTCGCTCACAGGGAGTGGAGTGTGTAGGGGATGTGTTATGTGTTATTGTAGAGGATCTAATATGTGTGCTTATGGTATGTAGTGTATAGGGTTACCAGTTTGTGCAGGTGATGTAGTGTGTTTGTGTGTAGTGGAAGCAGTGTGTATTTGTGTATAAGGGGATGTATTATGTGTTTCTGGTTGTGTGTAAGGGATGCATTGTGTGAATCTGTGTTTGTATGCATAAGGGATGCAAGGTGTGTGTCTGTATGTGTGTGCATTGAGTGTAAGAGATGCATTGTGTTTCTGTGTGTATGTAAGAAAAGAAGTGTGTGTGTTTGCATATGTGTGTACGGTTTGCATTGTCTGTTTCTGTGTATGTGTGCAAAGGATGCATTGTCTTTGTGTGTAAGGGTTGCATTGTGTGTGTGTGTGTAATGGATGCATTGTGTGTTTCTCTGTGTGTAAGGGAAGCATGTTGTGTTTCTGTGTATGTATAGGGATGTGCATTGTGTGTGTGTGCGCGCGTAGTGTGAAAGAGCTCCCTGTCTTGGCCCCTGTCCTATAGAGCTGCCCCTTCTGTCCCGTAGAGCTCTCCCCTGCACCTTAGTGGTCTCTCCTCTCCCCACCCTCCCCTAGCGGTCTCTTCTCACACTCACCCACCCTCCCTGTGCTCTTCTCATCCCCCCCTCCACCCTCCCTGTGTTCTTCTCACTCCTCCCTCTATGTGTTCTCCTCACACCCCCTGTGTTCGTCTTACCCCCCTCCTCCCTGTGTTCTTCATACTTCCCCCCTTGGTCGTCTTACTCCCCACCTGTTCTTCTTACCCCCCTTCTTCTTATTGCTCCCCCTTCTTCTTCTTCCTCTTCCTCGCTTCTTCTTCTTACTCTCCCCATTTTCTTCATACTCACCCTTCTTCTTACCCTCTTCTTCTTCTTACTCCCCCCTCTTCTTCTTCTTACTCTCCCTTCTTCTTATTCTTACTCCCCTTTTTCTTACTCCCCCTCTTCTTCTTCTTACTCTCCCTTCTTCTTCTTACTCTCCCTTTTTCTCACTCTCCTCTTCTTCTGACTCCCCTCTTCTTCTTCTGCTTACTCCCCTCTTCTTATTCTTCCCCCCTCTTCTTCTTCTTACTCCCCTCTTCTTCTTACTCCCCCCTCTTCTTCTTCTTACTCTCCCTTCTTCTTCTCCCCTCTTCTTCTTCTTCTTACTCCCCCTCTTCTTCTTCTTGCTCCTCCCTCCTCTTCTCTTCTTCTCCCCTCCTCTTCTTCTCCCCTCCTCCCTCTTCTTCTTGCTCCCCCCCTCTTCTTCTTCACTCCCCTTCCCTCTTCTTATAGCTCCTCCCTCTTCAGCTGTACTCTCACCCCTCCCTCTTCCTATTTCTTGGCTTCCCTCCCCTCTTCAGCCTAGCCTCATCACTCCCTCAGCTATTTCTTCTTGCTCCCCTCCCTCAGCTGTGTGCTCCCCCCTCCTGTTTCTTGCTCCACCCTCCCTCTTCTTCTTTTCCCCCACTCCCCCTCTTCTTCTTGCTTCCCCTCCCTCTTCTTCTTTCTCCCTCTTCTTTTTACTCCCCACCTCTTCTTCTTACTCCCTTGCCCCTCTTCTTCTTGCTCCCCTCCTTCTTCTTGCTCATCCCTGCCCTCTTCAGCTGTACTCCCCCTCCTTTCTTCTTGCTCCCCATCCCTCTTCCCCTGTACCTCTCTTCTTCTTCTCCCCTCACCTTCTTCTTACTCCACCCCCTCTCCCCTTCCTATAACCCCCCCTCCCATGTTCTCCTCACCTCCCCTTTTCCTGTAGCGTGGCCACGCTACAGGATAGAAGACTCTGTGGAACTGGTTTTGGGCAGAAAAGCCATGCTTCCTTTGGTCACAAAGGACTACGATCTATCTTTTGAACCACTGGACCAGTTTGGATGATTTTGACATATGTTTGTATTTGTATTTGAAGTTTTATGTGAATGTGATGCATACTTTTCAAGTTATGAATAATGTGGAAAAATTGTATTTCTCTGCTTGTGCTAATTACATTACCCATTGTGTAAGGTAATTGTATCACAGGCAGAGGGGAGGATTTTGTGTGGTAGTGTCTGAGTGTATTGTATGTGTTTATTGGTTGTGTTCCAAAACCCTGTGGGTGCTACTAATGTGTAAAAATGTGTACATAAGAACAATAAACCCACAGCTCTGTCTGTTCACTGCTTGACCCTCAACACAGAGCTTTGTCT